CCCGACCCGCCGGCTCCGGGCGGGCAGGTGACCGGCGGGGATCGGGGGCAGACGGAGGAGGGAGAAGCCAATTAAAAGTTGCTCTAGGGGCCTCCGGGGTGGCTGAGCCGGTACGGGCGCTTGTCGCCAAGTCGGACGACCTGAGTTCGATCCCTGGAACCGATGTGGTGGAGTGTCCTCTGACCTCCAGGCGTACACACACACTTACTCTCTAAATAACAAGGAAATCAAAGTTGTTTTAGGAGTCTTCATTCCCTTCGGCCCTGGGACATCACAACTACCGTCCCGGCCGTAGTCCATGACTCCGAACCCAGCATTTTGCGTGTGTGTGTGTAGATGAAGCTAAGGGAGCACACTGCATTATAATCCTCCTCCTCCTCCTCCTCGCCGTGGATGAGTCAGGTGGAGTGCTTGCGCCTCGTTTTTTAAATAATGGGTTTCTGCGGCGGTGGCGAAAGCTTTGGGAGGTCTGAGCCGTAAGCGGAGCGTGCAGGGCTCGGGACAGCGTGTACCGCGCTTGGCCGCCGCTCAGTCAACTCTGCTGCCGCAGTTGAGAGCTGGTGGTTTGGGGATTTTTTTCTTTTTTTTTTCCCCCCCAGGAGAGTGTTTTCCAGCGGACTAAGGCTGAGCGTTGAATGGGCACTTTCCTCGTCTTCTCTAGGGGTAGGAGGGAGTGTTTATTTTCATTGTCTTTGCATTCTTTTAGTGTAGAGAAGAAGGGAAGAGTTTAAGGGGTATTTATTTGGGTTAAGAGTTTTGTCCCTTCCTCCACGCCTCTTGCTGTTAGTGTTTGTTATCCATCATTACTACTGTTATTATTATAATTATAGAAGTGTAGTAGCTCCTACTCTTGGTGTCTGAATAGATTCAAGAAATGACTTGAAAAATCCCTTATTCTGGTGGGACGTTCTTCCTCTGCCACACTTCCCTTAACCGTTTTCTGTTTGCCTCTCACCAGCTGTCTGTCCGGTTTGGGCCGAACAGTCCTAACAGCTTTCACTTTGGGAATTCTACAGAAGTGGCATATTTTAACCATTTTTAGATGCAGAGGTTAATAATAACGTCCATTATTTGTTAGAAACACGTGGTTTAATTTTCTCCCTTTCTCGTTTCTAATGTGTCTTGTGTGGGAACTGCATTGGGTGTAATCTGTACTTCAGAGATGTTTAACTTCAGAGCACAGTTAATTTTTATTTAATTACACTAATTGAAGGGTCATTTTATTCAGCTAGCTAATTTAAGTTAGCTATTAGTTGGAACCACTTGAGATTATTTTAAATTAATGTAGGAATTTTCTTTTTAAATTGTTTTAAAACAGCAAATCTTTACATTAATGAGGTTTTTGTCATTCCAACAGTTTTTTTTTTT